CCAGCACAGGGATGCAGAAGTTGTTGTCCAGCAATATCCACAAGGCCACATGTTCCCTCACCTCTGCCGTAGCAACTGTCTCTTCTTGCCCAGGAGCTTCAGGTCAAACTGGGATGTGTACCTTTCAAAATGTGTTTAGGGGTGCCGCCCACCAACCCCTTGGCCTGGGGGTACAGGGGTGACCTGTCTGGTTTTGCCTCCTGAGGTGAATTGGGAAGGTGGCAGCCTGCCGAAGCCACGCTTACCAGGGGCGTACAGTGACTTCTGGGGAAATCTCATGAGAGTTCTGTGAGATCTGATGGGAAGCTGCCGCCACCCCACGGGATTCCACCACCTGAGGCAACTGCCTCGTCTGCCCCATGGGCGGGCCGGCCTTGTGTGGGTGCATTTCATAGTGCTGAAGCAGGGAGAGGGGGTGCTGCCATTGCTTCTTGATCTGCCATGTTTGGTATATCTGCAATAATCGAGGTTGGCGCAGATTATTGTGTTCTGGACCATACTTTGCCACATAGCAAGCTAGTCTGTACAGTGGTACCTCAGGTTAAGTACTTAATTCGTTCCGGAGGTCCGTACTTAACCTGAAACTGTTCTTAACCTGAAGCACCACTTTAGCTAATGGGGCCTCCTGCTGCCGCTGCACTGCCAGAGCACGATTTCTGTTCTCATCCTGAAGCAAAGTTCTTAACCTGAAGCACTATGTCTGGGTTAGCGGAGTCTGTAACCTGAAGCGTATGTAACCTGAAGCGTATGTAACCCGAGGTACCACTGTATATACTTGGAGGAAGACGCCTCAGCCTCTGTTTCCTACAAAGGGCCAACCAGACACTCCTGGGGAAATGCCCAAGTAAAACATGGTGGAAATGGTCCTGATTTGTGGTTTGTCTCCAGCAACTGGAAACATAGGAAGCTGCCTTGTATCGGCTCAGACCATCCTAGCCCAGTATTGTTTTCACTGGCAGGCAGCAGCTCTCCAGAGTTTCCAAGTCCTACCAGGAGATGAACCTAGAGCCTTCTGCATGCGAAGGAAGTGTTTTGTTGCTGACCTATGGCCCATTCCCCCAAGCTCCTGTGGTTCCACCCAGTTCGCATGGATATTAGGCAGTGAATGCGGTCCTGGATTGTCATCCAGGGACTCAAGAGTTGATCATGAGTGGGGAAATAGCTAGAAAGGAGAGTGAGTAAACCAATACGACTATGAGCTGTTCCTGGACTCACTTCTCTCTCTCCAGAGAAAGTTGTCCGTTGGAGAAGCCAAAGGAAGTTTGTATAGCAAGCAGATGAACTGCCAGGACTTTCTATGATATACACATTACAGAAGCAGTGGTAATTTCTCTGCCCAGCTTCTGCCAAAGACTGCCTATGTATGTTGCAGGCCTCGTGTAGGACATGTGTTTTATTTTTGCCAGCCAGCCATACCCTCTGCCGCAAAGCTCCATTCCATTATACAGCCCACCCTGTCCACCACAAATGCACCCAACTGCCAGATAGCATTCTGTGCCCACGGAATATGCTTAGTCCTTGTTGGTGGGGAACCTTTTAAAGCCAGGTGGGCCAGACCTTTACCTCCTCACCAACCCATGGCCCAACTTTGTCGGCTGTAGGGGTGGGAGCAAATAGCCAGCAGGATTGGTGTTATGTACTGAGTTGAATAGGATTCAGAATGCAGCAGTCTGATTGGTCCTGGAACAATAGGATTCAGAATGCAGCAGTTTGATTGGTCCACAGGAGCCACCCAATCCAGCTCCAGGTGGAAATGAATCCTCAACCTGATTGGCCTACAGGAGAATCCCGGAATTAGCCAATCACGTGGGACCCATTGTGTAAATAATGTATATAAAGCAGACATTCTGGGAGAACTTCCATCCCTCCTCACCACTAAGAGCTGAATAAAGAGCATGAAATCCACTCTCGACTCTGAGTATATTTCAACTGAACATGCTTTCCTTTGGTTTTTTGGCAGTGCCTGCATACAGGGCTGGCCCTAATATGAGGCAGAATGTGGCAGCTGCCTCAGGGAGCAGGGGCTGAGGGGCGGGGAGTGGCCAGAGCTGTGATTGCCATGTGGTTTTAACTTCTGGCAGCAAAATGTCATGCGCTGGCCCTGCCTACATGCAAGGTTGGAATTGGCTAGGGACACAAGACATCATCATGGCACCAAAGCAGCCCTGGGTCAAGGAAACAGTACAACAAACGAGGTAAATGTTTGTATTATTTTGGAACGGAGGGGCAAAAATAGCAAAACATTCAGTATGCCCTCTATTTAAACACAGATACACACATTAGGAATGTGGCATAGGTTTCCTCTCGCCTCTCTGGGAATGTTGCCAGTCCTAGTTCTGGGATCACGAGTGACTAATCGCTGAGTTAAATTGTTCCTCAATACATCTGTTTAACTCTGCTAAGTGGATTATCTATAGGCAGTAAGTTCAATCCAAGCCTTCAAGTTGTGGCTGTCTTCCAACCTGCATTTTTGCCTACAGTCCTCGCCCACAACTTTTAACGCCTCAGGGAGTCACTAAATAAGACAAATTAAATGGGTTTCCATTTGCTCCAGCTTTACGATAGGGACTAAATACCATTTTAAGTAGAGCAGTGAATTGCAAGCTCAGGAACTAGTATCGGGGGGTTGGTGTCAAAAGCCACCTGCAGAGGCCCCCATCTCTGCCGGGGGACCCCTGGCAACTCTTACAGCTTTCCAGTTACAGAGGGAGGGGCCCACGAAGCTACTTGTCTAATAGGTAAAGGTAAAGGGACCCCTGACCATTAGGTCCAGTCGTGACCGACTCTGGGGTTGCGGTGCTCATCTCGCTTTATTGGCCGAGGGAGACGGCGTACAGCTTCCGGGTCATGTGGCCAGCACGACTAAGTCACTTCTGGCAAA